CCCGGTGGCTCGGGGCCGGGCCGGGTCGTGCCGGGGCCCCGTGCTCCCCTCATGGGGCGTCGAGGGTCTCGCTTGGGCCTCTGCCCCGCGCCTCGGCCCCCGCCTGGGGACCCGCCCGAGGAAGCTGGTTCACGGGCCTGGCTGGCACTTGCGGAGCCCGCCCGCCCGGCCGGCCCGAGGCCGGGCCTCTCGCCTCGCCGCCCGGAGGTGCTCGCTTTCGGGGGCTGGGGAAGCGTCTGTGTGCAGGGGGGCGAAGCGGGGCTCCTTCTGTCAACAGGTCTCGGCATGCTTGGAGCTGGGAAGGGGCAGCCGGGGTTTGCACCTTCTGGTCGCCGAAAATACCGAGATCCTGAGGGCAAAAACGGTGGCGCAGGGGAAGGCAGTGGTTGCGGTTAAAAGTCGGATAAGTCCTTTTGTTTGCTCTGAAAACAGAAGTCTGCCACGTCTCAAATGCGGGTCGGAGACAAAGAATGACAAGTTTTGGATGAACGTGCTGCGTTGTCCAATGCCTTTGTATCCATTGCTAAGGAATAGCTTGCAACAACTATATGGGGATGATTGGTGAAAGGCATTTGGTTTATTATGAATATTATTCTGAGGTCTGTATTTCAGCAGTTCGTATTTTAACTCAAGCTGTCAGTTTTATGTTGACTCAGTATGAACTAACCCACTTACTTGGCTGAACGAAGTCTGGCAGTAGGAAGGTCCTGTGGCCTTTTGGTACATTAGTATACTGGGTTTCATTCCTTTGGCAGGACCCAAATTATAAATCGTGTGCTTATTTGGATAAAAAATACTTTCTTTTTGGTAGCCACCAGCTAGGGAAACACTTTTCCTGTCTGTTCTTTAACTGAGTGCCGGAGTTCTGTTTCTATGATTAGCTTACTTAAACCAGTGTAAATGAGAGGGGTAGTTGTTTTTAGCATAAACTGTAGGAAAAAACAGAAAAAGCGAACTCTTCAGTTCTGACACTGCTGAAATGGAGACACTCGAGAATTGAGAGTATCTCAGTCTCTCTATATCACCAGTAAAACTTTGGTACTGTTCACTAATATTGCGACCAGTTGGTAATACGGACCAACCATATGGTAGATATGTGTAATTTGTCAGATTCCATTGTGTTTTAAAAATCTTACAAAATGTACTCTTTAATATTTAGCTTGATTTAGTTTGTCTCTGACTCTACGTAGAAATACGGTTTGTAACACAAATATGAAAATATCAAATATATAAGTACTTATATAAGATATTTAAATGCCTGCTTTATGACTCTTAAAACAAGCTGTTCCACTAAATTGTCATTGGGTTGTTGTAGTTCTTACTTTAGATGTTTAAAACTTCTTTTTACCACTTTAGTTTTCTCATGCAGCTTTAATGTACTGCGCCACTATTTTTTGTCACAAATAGTTATAAACCATGATGATGAATTGATGAAATATCTGCCATGTTCTCTGTTGCAGATGTGATGGTGGGGGGAGGCAATCCTACTTGTCGTACAATGGATGAGGGTTTTGTTACTCTTTTTAGAAAAGGCAGGATTAGGATTTGCTTACCCGATTGACTCATGGAGTGAGAGTGCAGTTCAATCCATAGCTGAAGCAGTTTGGTTTCCTGCCGTTCCAGCACATTAGTGGCGCAACTTTTAACTGTAAAGTTGGCCTTAGTCTCTGAGCAAAAGTGGAGCTGCACTTGGCACTGCTTGAGGTTATCCGCAGCTGTTAGGCTTCAAAAGAGGGCCTGGGGAGGTTTTCTCATCAATGGACGTCAAAGTAACTCCACTAGATTAAAGCTAGTACATAAAATATGTTCATATAAGGAGAATATAATTAATCTTAAATATTTGTATTAAAAATACCACACAGACTAATTACAAAATTTACTGGTATGTAAAGTTAACAGGTTTCCAGAAATGTTAGTTCCTTCATTAATCAGCATATCCCCTGAATTTCCCTTTGAAGTTTAAAATAAACTTTACAGTGCACTAAACTAAATATTCCATGCCTACTGTAATGAAAAATAGAATAACATGCACAAGTAGTATATATATCTCACAAGTAGAAACTGTAGAAAAACTCTGTTTAAGAAATAATATGGTCTTGTATTGTAAAAGAGGGATGTGTAAAACAGGTATTGCATCATGTCCCTGTAAAAACGTATCTGCTTGTTCATCTCCCTATGGAAATCCAGATTCAAAAGGAACATTGCTGAAATCAGCCTTTCAATGCCCTATTAGTTGCATCAGGTTTTGTTTCCAAATAAAACAGTGCATATATGAACTAGTGTATAAGCTATTAATGATGTGTTGCTAATGATCTTTATAGCAGTTGCTGAAAAGAGCCCCAGTTTTTCTCACATAATGTTCCATAGGGGCTTCAGTATTGTGTGTGTATATCTTGTTACATGTGTTCATAATAGCAGTTCATTAGATTTCCAATGTGTTCTTGCTTTGATTAGACATGATACCAGTTATGAGACTTAATGTTGATTTCCGTACGATTTAAATACTTTTATGTCACTCTTCCCTTTTTGGTGAAATTGCTATACTCCGTTATGCCGCAAGTTTTATGTGACATAATGGATGTGGTGAAGCACTTTGAGATGTTGGTATGGAAGATATTCTTAAAAGTATGAAATTGTGTTGCAGTTTTCTTAAAAAACACTGAGCATAGTTGGAACCAAGTCATTCTTTTATTTTACCTTGTTTCTATTGTCATTAATAATTTACTAGATACGATCTCATATAGCTCCCTACTCCTTTTAACTGAGGGTGACTCTTTAGTGTACAGAACTTACAAAAAATCTGATGCAGAATAGTATTTAACCACAAAGAGGTGACCCAAAACTCAAACAGCTCCTCATCCACATCAGCACTTGAAGTCTCATTTTTAAGTCAGTCTGATACATAGTAACCATAAATTATTACAAAATAGCCTCCAGTAAAGTTGACAGATACACTTCGCTACCAGAAATTATTTGCAAAGTAAAATAGTATCAAAATCCCAAAGTTTGTTCAGAGCACCCTGTGTGTTACAGAGCCTGCCCATGAAATTATAATCTACAAACTACTGAACGTTCGCCATAGGCAAGAGAAGCCCTGCAAAAGAAATATGGAGAATGGCTGTGAAGTACAGATTGCTGTCGTAGAATCAGACTCCTATTCGATTGGTGTGCATGCATTTATTATGTGGTTAAAACTTGTCTCAAAACAGGGCCTAGAAATGCTTTGTATTATATCAGCATCCACATAAGGAGAACTGCAAGATACGCAATGTAAAAACTTGGCAAGGGGTGAGGAGGGCTTTTACTCTCAACTTGACTGAACTTGATAGTTAAGTTCCAGGCGCTTGCAAACACTGACTAAAATGTGTAAAACTTTCAGTTTTTCCTATTCCTGGTCTCTCTTTCTGCATAAGCAGATGAAAATGGGGACCACAATACCACTACATAAAGAAAAGCATAAAATATGCTTTTAATTTTTTTTACTGTGTGAAGCAACTTTTAACAGAAGAAATTTCTGCATTTTTTCAGGTAATGGTTCAGCTTGGGTGTTGTGACAGCAGTTGCAAAATCTTCAGAAAATTATTTTTGCATTTTTAGGAGTAAAATGTATGACCCTGTTAAATTGGTTTTGGGAGATGAGAACAGTATGAGCTGATAGTTAAAATACTCTTATCTGTAAAGCCTTTCTCTTGGTAGGGGTTGTTAGAACCTGAAGAGAATCAAACAAATTTAAGCATGCTTGGTAACTACCGTTTCCTTTGTCATAACTGGATATTGATAACAGTAGTTGAGAAAGACTCTCTTAGAATATGTGCATGTAATGCTAACTGCAGAGTGAGCTGCTGGTAACCCCAGCATGGTGTCTGCAGAGTGGACGGTGCTAAGGCTGTAGCAGAGGCCTTGGAAGTACAAGCACTGGTACTGGATGATAGCAGAGACCCCTGAGTAGTTAACGCAAATGACCACTTATCAATTTGGAAAGCTGCCTATTGAGGAACTAATATTAGGGCATTGCGAGAGGAGTGACACAAACAAGGATGCATGTGTGGCTTAACTGGGTGAATGAACCATTAGCGATGTTATCGGAAAGTTACACCCTGAAGAATATTTAGGGGGAAACAAGGACTTCCCATTGGAGAAGGCTGCATGTCTTGAGGAATGGTAAGGAAGAACAGGAAAAGTGTTATAACATGGTACAGGGGTTGCAACTTGCTAGTGAAAACCAAGCAAACAAAAAAAACCCACCCTGTGAGAACCTCTGCAAGTTGCTCATATCGGATAGCACAAGTGGAATTGTCTTTACATTGCGTGTGCAAGCCTGTAGCAAAAATGATGAGTTGCACAGGTGCCCTACTTGAGAATCAGGTTTGGCAGAATTGATCACTCATATCTTGCATTGCTACCTGTGTAAATATTGATCATTGTTAAAGGCAATACTACTTCTTTTGTTTGTGTCTGGGTCTAGTATTTGGTCTAGACCTTTTGGGGCTTCATTTGGATGCCACAAAGCTTACAATAATTTTATAAAATCTGCTTTACAGTCCAAGATTTGGCACTTGAATGCTGACATTGAAACAGCTGCAACTGTATCAGGATTGTGTGCCACATTTTAAAGGGATTTAAGAGCAAAACCTTGGTTGCAGATTACACAGTTAAACTTGTGACCTGGAGCTTGCCTGCTGGCAAAGGCTGGCTACTAGACACTGGCACTCTGCATTTAAGGGATGGATGTCTTATTTATATGTATATAAACTATATCTGATGTATATCTCTCACAAGTCAGTATGCATGTGTGTGAATCTATAGGCACATACAGCCTGGTAGGATCTTTATTTGCCATATTAATACCAATCTTTTTTAATTAATCTTTTTGTTTTGAGGTATACTTTTCAGAGAAAAACGCTGCTTTGTCAGTCATGTAACTTCATATGCTAGATAGCCCACTGAAACAGTTTATTCTGGCTGTAAGTGGAAAACAAATAAGATTTTGCACTGTAATGGACTTTCCACCATACTCTTAAAGTACCATTGGTCAGATTCATGGAGAGCCAGTTATTGGTAGGTCGTTACGGCAAGGTTTGCAGAGATGAAGGTAAAAAATGAGAAACCTCAGGAGAAATAGTACTCACTGATAGGAAGAGACTTCTTGTTTCTTGAGGGTACACAGTTGAAGAAAGGCACTTCCACAGCCTTTACTTTTTCTTTGGGTAAAGCAGTGCCCACTTCGTGTATCTTAGCAGTGTTCAGTTAGAGCTGTCACTAGGTTCTACCCAGAGAGAGAATCAGTGTTGACAACTTGAGTAGTGCAGTGTTCTGGGAACAGCTTGATCTGCTCTCTTGTAAAGACTAAACATTTCTGTTTCTCTGTTGCTTTAACCAACTTGGCAATAGCTATAAAAAGCCAGAATAGTGCAGCTGCTGCTTGGATGATAAAGTAGTGACGTGCCCCAGCTTACTTTGTCTGGCTTACCTGGAATCTGATGCATGTTCATTTGCACTGTAAGTAAAACACTTTATCAGTGCTTGTGGAACATATGCATGGTTCAGTGCTTTCAAAAGCACTGGTTATTTTATGCTATTTCTAAATGAAGGTGAACAAAACTTTTATCAACAATAGTAGTGATTCACAGTACAGAAAATGGGTATTCATTTATGAATTGTTTAGCTATGTTTTCAGTTGTTAGTCAATGTCAAGAAATGCTACTGATGGGAAGACTTTTAAATCTTGAATTTTGCACAGTTTGCCACATTAGTGGCAGTGAGAAAACAGCTTGTCTGTCAAGCTGCTTTACAAACCTGCTCCTGGATAGGGCTGTTGGTTGTAGTGCAGCAAAACAAAGCCTGAAAACTGCTTCCCCATCACTTTAATTCTTTATAAGGCTTTCTAACAGGATAGATCAATCTACATTTGTCCCTGCTGTTTAGCAGTTTTGAAAGGTGCTCCTTAGGCCTGAAATGCTTTCAGAATCATACAACCATTTAGGTTGGAAAAGACACTGAAGATTGAGTCCAACCGTATCCTCTATTTTGAAAATGCTCTGTTTTGTCTGTTTTTAAAAACTGTGTAGAAATTGAATAACTAAACCAAGTTTTGCCAAACTAAGTTACCAATGGCAAAACATGACATGTTTAACTTTGAGAGTTAGATAATTTACATAGACATCATACTAATATGAGTATGCTACAGAGTACCTCAAATTGTTCCTAAGGTACTAATTTGTTTCAAGCTTTTTCTGAAAGAATTTTCACTGATAATGTGTGGAATGCTTGCTTCTCTGTGTTCTGATTTAGATGGAGCATGCCAGATTACTTTGGGCCACTGAGTCATGGGCTACATTTGAGCAAAACTTGAGAGGCAGTACTGCATTGTGGTTCAGGTTTCCTGAACAGTTAGGTCTTGGAATACTTTTGGTGTAAACAACACAAAAGTTGGAGAGGGAAGGACCTCAGCTTCCCAGAAGAGAGGGGCCCAGCTCCAGCTATCTTCTTATCCTTTAAATAGTCCTAGCTATGATGATCAATTCTAATGATTTCAATTGTAAGTACCAAAAATTGTTCAGAGTTGGAGCTTCTCCAGGTGATAAGGATGTACAAAATCAGTTCTCAGATTGTGGTAAACTCTCTTGCGCAGAGGTGAATCTTGGTAAAGAGCTTGACTGTAGTAGGTCTTTAATGTGATGAGGCAACATGTCAGGTTTTACTACTGCAATGTACATGGATGGTGTATCTTCATAATTTTGTTTTAGTAATTTCAGAAATTACTAAAGGCGACTACAAATAGCTGTTACTGTAGCTACCCTTCTTGGAGCCAGTTTTGGCTGTGTTTTAGAAATGAGTCTCTGAACCTTGATGCTTAGTGCATCTATATACAAGATAATGTATGGGTTTGCATGTTAGTAATTAAAGTAATCAAGGATCTATTCATTGCTGTTGTTTCAACAAATTAAAAATTAGAACGAAGGCTTCCATTGGGTGATACTGAAATCTATAGGGAGTTTTGCTACTAGCTTGCCTGATTATTGCTTCTAAAACGTTTGGATGTAGGTATCTTTACTAGACATTTTAATTTGATTTTTTTAGTTAAGTTTCATAAGGCTGTAAGAGGATGGGAAGATATTGATGGGAATACTGACTTGTGTGGATTTTTTATTAGTGATACTGTTTTTATTTGGGACCATATTGCACAGCTCTTTCATTTGGTGAGGATCCTAACTTTCCACGTGGAAGATCTTGGTTTAGGTTATAATCTATTGGCTTACTACTGAAATCCAAAAAAAACCCCAAACCTCAGAGTTGTTTTTTTTCTAAATGTATTCTTCTGCTTTCCATCTGCTTCTGGGTTTAACTGGCTTCTATTGTATTTATCTTTGCAAGTGTCTCTGTCCTTCTCATTGCTTTGTTTATCTTTTCTAGTCTGTTTGTGGGAAGAAGATCAACGAAGTCTTTGTCATTTTATCATTCTAAAGCCCAATCTAATAATTGGTACATTTATGAAAGGTAATGTCTGAACAGGTGTAGCACACTAGTGCAAGTGTTCATTATAGATCCCAGTAAGAAAGACACTCAGACTCTTAACGTATTGATTAAAATAAAATTTATTGGAGATGCCAGGAGAAGGAAAAAAGGGGGTAGCATAGATAACTTTACATCTGTTCAGCTGCTGGAACCCTGAGTTGTACAGCACTGGACAGACATCTAGGCATGGCAAGCTGTGCAAATCCTGTCTGTGGTGAGGATCACCAGCATTGTAGTCTTTAGAACTTTTGTAGGATGTTCTTGGAAGTAAACAGCTCTAACATTTCCACTGCCAAGCAAAAGGATGTTATATGAAAACATGCTGTTTCACTTCAAGATATGAGACATAGAGTCGTAGAATGGTTTGGGTTGGAAGGGGAGCTTTAAAGGTCATCTAGTCCAACCCCCCTGCAATGGGCAGGGACATCTTCAACTAGAGCAGGTTGCTCAGAGCCCCGTCCCACCTGACCCTGAATGTTTCCAGGGGTGGGGCATCTACCACCTCTCTGGGCAACCTGTGCCAGTGTTTCACCACCCTCATCGTACAAAATGTCTTCCACATATCTAGTCTGAATCTACCCTCTTTTAGTTTAAAACCGCTACCCCTTGTCCTATTGCAACAGGCCCTGCTAAAAAGTCTGTCCCCATCTTTCTTATAAGCCCCCTTTAAGTATTGAAAGGCTGCAATAAGGTCTCCCCAGAGCCTTCTCTTCTCCAGGCAAGTCACACCACATGCAAATGGTGTAATTGCCAGGTGCCAAGTGGGGGCTGCATATTCTGTCACAATTAGTCTGCTGAGTTCATCCAGTGGTCTCAGGTGATAAATGTAGTAGAGTGCAGGCCTGTGCTTATTCAGGTCAACTGGTATACAGATCACTAACTCCTTGATGTACAATAGTCTTCTGTTTAAGATCACTGCAGCAGGAACTAAAAGCAATACCACTGGTTTTAGATCAACCTACTAATTATGCTGGTGAAGTCAGTTCCAACTTACTTTTGGAGAAATTGCATTTTTTGAGTTGACTTATTTATTTTCACTGAATAAGATAACCTGAAACTGAAATGAGCATCCACAAAGAAGCTGAAAGCCTTAATGGACCTGTAAACCTGCAGTCTGGAATTGAACAGACTCTGGCAGCTTGGGCTGCAGTCTGCTTTTGTTTCCTGCTTGGTCAAAGACTAAGGCTGAACCTAAATATTTTTATTCCATTACTGATGCAGCTGTTGCATTCCTTCTCAGTCTAGTGCATTTTACTAATTTCTCTTGGTTTCCCTACCTGTCTTCTGGTTTCCTGTTCATTCCTTCAGAAAGCTGAGTGCCTTCTTGTTGTGGATGAGTGGAATGCACCTCTCAAAAGAGAGAAGCAGCAATATATTTTATTGAGATAAAATAATTGACAGGGTTCAATAAGTTTGACGGAATTTAACAAAGTTTTTAACAGTGGTTTGACAAGTCTCAGTAAGTTTGATGGCATGGGTTACCTTATTAATTACTGCATGGAAGAAACATACAAAAGAAAATTGAGTTAGAATGATTCACACAGACTGGAGATGCAAAGAGTAAGGAGGACCCTCTCATTGAGTCACGAGGTTCAGAGTGGACCCTTTTGCTTTCTAAACTCCTTTTGGAACCTAGGTGTTGTTACTGTAAGTCAGCAGATGAAAAACTCTCTAAGACTCAATTTGGAGTTTTAGAAAGCAGGCATTCTTTGTTATGGCACTGGGTACTAGGTGGAATTTCCACAAATCAAGCACACCTATGCTGAGTTCACCGTTACATTTATACACTACAATTACAAGGTAGCACACTTCCAGTTACAGTGATTGGTTAGTGATTTGCATATAATTATAATATCTGCTATGTCATTCTCTTCTGTTAATATGCTTGTGCAGGGGAAGGGCCTTCACCTGGGCAAGGGTTGTCTTGACCTGTGGGTGTGGTTTTTTAGTATTATAATGAAGGCAGTTCACTTCAGGATACCTTAAAAGTAAGTTTTGTTGCCAAGTTGGCCAGCTAGATATCTACCTTGCCAGGTTGTCAAATAACTCATCCCATATACAATAGAACCTCGGGACTCTGATTATGGTCTAGAGAGTCCAGAGAATAGGGACTTCAAGCAACACAGCCTCAGATAACAAGTAACACAGCAACCCATACATAATGCTAACATAGAGGCTAACTTCTTGAAATCAAGATGTTCTTATAGTTGATTATTTCACAACCAAACATAAAAAGATTCAGTAAAACTTAAGATAATCTTCAGCAGTGTGGCTGGATCCAATCTTAGTCTCGGACTTGGTCAATGGTTTATGTCTAATGGAATTATCCATACAATGTTTATAATAATATTGAGTAGCTACATGGATTAGTAATGTTTCATAATATTGATTCAGCATGTTATCAGTCACTTACAGAGGATCTGTCACGGGTAAGGGATCTTTCTGCCTGGGGTAGGGAAGGATCTCTTAGTTTCAGGTAAGGAATCTCTAACCTTGAGAAGCATCCCTGCTCAAGGGGAGAGTCATGTGGCATGCTGTCCAGCTGCAATTCAGGGAGAGCTCAAATTGGGCCCAACCTGATGGTAATATCTATAGGGTGAAGTAGTTGGCTGCTAGTCGATAGTATAAACAAGATTACGTCTTCGTTTTAGCTCTGGTATCTTGTTCTGTACTTTGGTTATCTTGCACTTTTGGGTTTAGAAGCCACCTTTCAAAATATTGTTCAAGACACCTTCACTCCCTTGTATGTGAGCCAGGGGCTTTCTAGCTCACAAGTTCACCCCAAGGACATGAGGCCTGTTGCTCCTTAGCCTGAACCAAAGTATGGCTAGGAGAGGAGTCAAGTGTATCCGTCATGAGACTCGGCTTCAGTGGGAATTCATTGTTTGTTTATTCTGTACCATCTCTATGCTTGAAGTTGTGTAATAGTCATGTACTTGACTCCTCAGTTTTAAAAACTTTAAGATTTTTTTCATTTCTTAACTTTTCTGACATACTTCTTTGGTCTTTGCAGAAAAGGTACAGTTTGGCTGTTGGTCCTCCCAAAAAGGTTCCAAAAGTCAAGGGTGTAGAGTCTGCAGCAGTGCAAGCATTTCTCAGACGGCAAGAAGAAGAAAAAAGAAAAAAAGGTAACAGTCCAAAATATTTCCTATGGGAGTCTTTCATTGACTCTTTGAGACTTTGTCACCTTATTCAAAGCTCTTGCAAATACAGCTATACATCTGTTTCTGGAATTTATGCACATAACTGATCCTGAGGGAAAGCCAGGACTAAGTAAGGACTAGGGATGTTTGCATGCTTTCCTAAGGAGTTAAATATTAATCAGCTACACTAGCATTTACTGTTGGAGATCAAGAAGTAGTTAAGGTGAAGAGATATTGCAATAAACCATCTGGATTTTTGATAACTTAATTTTGAAAAGCTTTATCTGTGTTGAAAAATGGTAAGAGTTGCTGTTGTGTCTTAATCTAGTGTATCAATACAGTCTGAATTTTAAATTTGTATGGCAGAGGCTTTGTTCGAGCTACATTTTTTCCACTGTATTATATTTCCTTTAAATAGCCTATAGAATAAACTAATACTGCATTGCTTCTGGTGTTAATGTTTTGTTAAAGGTAACCAAATCTGATGGACTGGGTGGCCCAGGGTATTCCTCCTCTCCTGGGCCAATCACGAGCCTGCTTCTTATCCCTGCTGCCAGCTGCAGCCAGAAGCAAGACTGAGCATGAATTCCACATAGGCATGCATGCACTCACATTCTGTACAGTCACAGCCCTTGACAATAGAATAACATAGGCAGGGGGTGGTACCTTTACAGGCACCCACAGCATGAGTAGCCTAATCCATTTTCTAGGAATTGATGCTTTTCCTGAGTCTTTCTGATATTTGGCCCCCATTCCCTTGGTCTCTCCAGTATCTGGCATTCAGACCTATCATTCTATTCACCAGCTAGTTCAGCCTGAATTTTGTCAGCAGATCAAACACAGACTCAAGATAGAGAGCATACTTATGCAGAAAATAGCTAAAACCAATTCAGTAAGAATATAGGACAGACTGTGGAGATAGGGCACAGGGCTCTACCAGACAAATGTAGTGACCAGCAGCTTGCTTATCTGCGGCTGGCTGCTTCTGTCTCTCCCCTACACCCCTCTACACACACACTCAGCCTGTTTTCCAATTCTTATACTCCAATGCTCTTTTACTCCCTCACTTTCCTCATCTTCCCTTAAATATCTGATTGTAAATTCTGTACGGTCTCAAAATTCTCTTGCTCAGCCTCAGAACTCCTTCCATTACTCAGAGATCCCATAAGTCCTGTGCCTCCTCACACAGTAATTCTCCTTAGTTTGCATAGCATTCTGGAGAGCTGCTTCGGTTGAATCACCTTAGTGGGTTTTGCAATAGCAGCATTTGACTTAATGGCTCGCCTTTGTTAGAGTAGCTGATTCAGGTGGGTTAGCTTGCCCTGTTGGCAGACCCCTGACCACTGGTCTAAATTGAATAGCTGTTAGCCAGATATCCTTAAACTACTGTCCTAAATGGTTTATCAGTTTGGAAGGAATTGAAATAAAAAGTAGTGCTTTTGCATAACTTTCTTCTGGTTTTCTTTTACAGCACTAGAAGAAAGGAGAAAAAAAGAAGAACTCTTGGCTAGACGTATTGAACTGAAACATGACAGAAAGGCAAGAGCTATGGCCTCACGAACAAAGGATAATTTTTATGGCTAAAAAAGCATTCCTGTTGAAGAGAAGCCTAAAAAGAGGAGGACTTGTGAGAATGTCGCTCAGGCCCCAGAGGCTGAGTATGCAACAGAAGATGAAACTGAGCAACTTGAATACAGTCAGACTGAATCTGAGCATGAGCAAGAAGAATATGAAGAGAAACCATCCAAAGTTGCAGTGAAACCAAAGGCACCTCCCAAAAGTGCACCAGCACCTCTGAACTTTGCAGAGCTCTTAAGGCTTGCTGAAAAAAAACAGTATGAACCAGTGGAAATAAAAGCAGTGAAAAAGGTAGAAGAGAGACCCAGAACAGCAGAAGAATTGAGAGAGAGGGAGTATTTGGGACGCAAAAACAAAAGAGCAGAAATGCATAAGAAAAGTGAGAAGGAGATTAAGAATACAGGAATATCCAGTTCTTCAAAAAAAGTGACTTCTCAGAAAGAATCTGTAAATGCAAAACTTAACAAAAGCTCAGTAGATAAACATTCCACACCAAAAGGCAGTCTGTCGTCTTCTATGAGTGGTACTGATAAGAAATCCAAAGCACCAGCATTGACTGAAAAACACTCATGGTCATCACCTTCCTCCAGATCTGATCAAATGGAAAAAAACTCACAAAATGGCTCCTTAAGAAGCTCTACTGGTAGCAGTCATAGTAAATTACCTGTCAATGGTACTGGAAAGTCTGGCTCAGGCTCTCATGTGCCACCCTCAAAGCCAGCAGCCAATGGGGCTCAGAGGCTACCATCTGCTAAAGAATCCAGCCTGAAAAAGTCTGCCCATACAAAATCAGGAAGTGCTGCAGCCCTTCAGCATGGAATCAACTCCAATGCAAAACGATCAGGCAGCAGCTTAGGAAAAGGAGGACCTGGACATCCAGGTGGCAGTTCAAGTGCAGGACCTGGACGATTGAGCAGCAATTCTGGTGTGGGACCTGGAAGGCCAGGAAGTGGTTTAAGCCCAGGACCTGGGCGACTGGGCAGCGGCTCAGCTGCAGGACCTGGAAGGCCAGGCAGCAGCTCAAGCCCAGGACCTGGGCGACTGAGCAGTGGCTCAGGCATGGGACCTGGAAGGCTGGCTGGCAGCTCAAGCACAGGACCTGGGCGACCAGGCAGCAGCTCAAGCATGGGACTTGGGCGACCAGGCAGCAGCTTGGGTATTGGACCAGGAAGGCCAGGCATCAGCACAAACGCAGGACCAGGGCGACCAGGCAGCAGTTTGGGAACAGGACCAGGAAGGCCAGGAGTCAGCCCAAGCACTGGACCTGGGCGACCAGGCAGCAGCTTGGGAACAGGACCAGGAAGGCCAGGAGTCAGCCCAAGCACTGGACCTGGGCGACCAGGCAGCAGCTTGGGGGTATTGGACCAGGAAGGCCAGGCATCAGCACAAACGCAGGACCAGGGCGACCAGGCAGCAGTTTGGGAACAGGACCAGGAAGGCCAGGAGTCAGCCCAAGCACTGGACCTGGGCGACCAGGCAGCAGCTTGGGAACAGGACCAGGAAGGCCAGGAGTCAGCCCAAGCACTGGACCTGGGCGACCAGGCAGCAGCTTGGGTACAACTGTGAAAGCAATGTAGGACCAGGAAGGCCAGGAGTCAGCCCAAGCACTGGACCTGGGCGACCAGGCAGCAGCTTGGGAACAGGACCAGGAAGGCCAGGAATCAGTCCAAGCAGAGGAGCGAAGCGACCAGGCAGCAGCTTGGGAACAGGACCAGGAAGGCCAGGCATCAGCCCAAGCACAGGACCTGGGCGACCAGGCAGCGGCTTGGGTACAACTGTGAAACCGAAGTGTACTGTTGTATCGGAAACTATTTCTTCTAAAAACTTAGTCACGAGACCTAGCAACGGACAGATAAATGGAATGAGACCTCTTCAAGGGCATAGACCTGTGTTTCATCCACAAGGTATAAAGTTCTAGAGCAAATAATTTTTTTCACTTAGTTATGTGTTTTGTATTTTTTATGTCTGAGTTGAGGTCACTGAGGGCCTTTGACAATTATAGATGCAATTAGGAAGACTTGGACAAAATACCATATTTGCCTTTTAAAGAATGCATTTAACAGTAGAATGCTTTTTTCTGCTTTGCAACTTTTTGTTTATTTTTACCTATGCTCGTATTCCTTGAAATACAGGCCTGGGGTGTGAAGTATTACATGAAAGAAAACTAAGCAGCCTGTAATGGATGTTGGTATACGAATGCTGTTAGAAAGAAAAGAATTGAAGGATTTACTTCCTGCATAGCTTAATTATGCTTAGTCTTTAAGCATCTGTTATTTAAGACACTACAAAATTTTAAAGTGGTATGTGAAAATTAAAACCACACAGCAAACCTGTGACTAATATTTAAGTATTTTGGCAAATTTACCTTATCAGTAAGCAAGCAGTTCTAAAAATTTATTTCTGATCAGAAACAAGCAGCATGGACTCTAGCAAATTAGTGCCTAGAAAACCCTGAACAAGAACATAGACTTCTGTCTGGTGGTTTCCTCAGGATGCAGTTGGTGATACTGATACGTAATCTTATATAGCACAACTTAGAGGAAGTATTTCCTTTTACTGAGTTTGAGAATAGCTAGTTAACTTGAGGCAAAAGTTTTCCACCTTGAAGCCCAGAGCTGTAAAATGCCCAAGGTATAGCAAGGCATAGTTAAATTAATGTTATATTAATGTTATTAATTAATTTTTTCACTCCCCTGTCATTTAGGTCTTGGAAGACCACCTATTAGTTACAAAAGACAAATAGAAGATGATGATGATGATGAATATGACTCTGAAATGGATGACTTCATTGAAGATGAAGGGGAACCCCAGGAAGAAATATCAAAACATATTCGGGAAATATTTGGCTATGACCGGAAAAGGTAACAAAAATGTCAATTTTAAGATATTGCAGAACAAGCAACAGAACAACAGAAATCAATACAGTTCAACAAATAAAAATGTTTTAGAAATAGGGGAGGTGCTGGTATCCAAACACGGTTTTACACTGCAGAAATTTAACAAGCATTAGAGCTGCTTCTGTGCAGAAGGGACCTTGAACTTTCATACTGCCTGGCATGCTCTTCTGGGGAGCAACAAAATTTGATGCAATGGGACATAATTAGAGAACCACACAGCTTCTTCAATGTCTGACCTGTGTAATTCATAGCAACTCTTTCCTATTATTGGATGTTAAAATGCTTTCTATAGCAGCCTGCAGTATTTCAGAATTCATCAAATGTAGCTGCCTGAATATGAACTGCTGATGCAATAGTGGTAGCTGTTCTGTAAGAGGATCTAACTTGGTATGACTAAGAACTGCTGGAAAATGAAGGGTCTTATTTAGCTTATTTAAATATTTCCCTCTTGTCTGACAAGAAGGTATAAGAAAGCAAGCATTTTAAAGGCTTGTAACTTAGATTCTTTCAAAACATTAATATCTGTGTATGGCAAGGTGATTATTCTTTCTAAGAAGGGATGTGAATTCATAACTTAACTGTACATTACCATGTTTTTTTAGTGTGCTGAAAACTAATATTTAATTTCCAGATACAAAGATGAAAGTGATTATGCCTTACGTTACATGGAGAGCAGCTGGAGAGAGCAACAGAAAGAAGAAGCTAGGAGGTATGCATGGATTTAAACTCAGATAGAAAGTGGGAGGTTTATTGCCCAAGTCATGGGGCTAAGTTAGAGTGGATATTTGCTTTTTATAGTAGAGGTAAATAAGCCTTAGCATTTTTTATAAAAAGCTTAGGTAAAGATGAAACTCAGCCAGCCAGTGGTGGGTACAGTAAATAAATCTTGTATGTTCATTCTCATGTATCAGAAACTTTGCTTGTAAAAAAAACCAAAAAAACCCACAAACCAAAACCAACTTATGCCCAAAAATCTTTTTAAAAAATACTTTAAATTTCAGTTGTAATGCTAAACCCTTCAATTTGTCCCAAACATTACAATATTCTGATAGTTTGAGGACTGGAAGGAGATTTATTTGTTTTTATCTGTGTGTGTGTGTGTATTTCTATGTATGTATAAAAAGTACTCTGCAAACTTTTGTAATCAGTGATTTCAAGCATGAAGATCATATTTTCATATTGGTTTTGACCATTGGTTTTGGCCTCTAGACCTGCACAATTCTTATGTCGCTATTATAAAACCTGGTGTTCATAAACTGATTTTCTTTTTGGTTTTTAATGGTTGGTGGAACAAGCTTTGTGAAAGTTGTAAGAGGTTTTTATAGATAATGGAAAATATTGGAATATACTGAGTTACCAGATTTTCTTGTTCTACTGAAATGTATGTATTGTTATTCAGAAGGTGCCTTGAGCATTGGAAACTTGCATCTTTTTGAAGTTATAGTCAGGGTCCTTATTCTTTCTTGCTCCTGGGGAATAGATGCAGTTCATGTAAAGCTATAGTCTGTTAAATGGAGTTACAGGAAACAGCTGGAATTTTACAGTGATATTGCTATTGACCGAATTCTCTGTTGAAGACATAGAGGTTTTGCAGAGTTGAATACCTGGCTAACTTTTTAACTACATATGCTAGAATAAAGGAAGGGGAGATAAGAAACTTCAGTAAAATTGAGTGTAACTATTTTCAATGCTCAGCTACTTTTCACTGAGTGTTTGGTTAAAAGCATTGTGACCCTTGAAATGAGGAACTTTTTCTAACCAAGCAAGCCCACTAAAATTATAGTTAAGTTCTAAGTTGAAAAATGATGCTTCAAGCCAGGGTTTTATCACATAGATCCTTGATGTGTTTGTGTCTATTCTTAATTTGGATGACTGCAGTTTCCTGAATTCAAGATGACTCTGCTATGCTTGTTTAGGCATAAAATCCATTTTAGAGCCTGTGCTGGAGCAGTTTAGCCCAGAAGAGTTGAATCCTCATTGTCATGTGGTTGAACCTTTTGCATCGACGTGCATGCTACACTGCCTTATGTTGTTTCGTAATGAACTATGGATATACAAATGCACTTGGTAGGGCTGCAAATGAGGCAGGAGCTGATCATGAAATGGTAACTTTGCCACACCCGTTCCTAGTATCAAATCAGCAAGACTATCCAGCCCTTATTTACTGAAGAGGAGATCAGTGATTGCAGATACTGTTTTTAAGTATCACTTTCAACATACTGACTTCTAGGAAGCTGAAGAAATTATGCAGGGACGTAGCTAGAACATGCTGCATTAGCAGAGTCTCTTCCATGGAGCTGTTCACCAGTCATGGCAGCTAGATGGACTGAGGGTGGAGCAACGTTGGGCTTGTAGCTACCTGAATGGTGCCTCAAGCCAGGAAGTTGCAACAAAATCTTTTGCTTCTTTACTGTTTGACATATCCATTCTCTCCCTTGCCAGTGTAAAAGGCTTAGGTGGCTCTCAGAGAAGTTGATGAGAGTCAGTCCTGCTATGACATGTATGTAAGAGTTACATTGGCAAGAAATGATGGATGTGTTTCAGCAGCTTCTTTTTGGGGAAAAAAATGACATTTTGTATTAAAATCAGTTTTTTTCACAATCTTGATTTTTTTTAACAAAGGTTTTAAATAATTTTTCCCTCAAAAGATTTTATTCTAATCTAATGATAAAATCTTGATTTCTTTTTTTAAAGGTGTATTCTTGCTGTAATTAAAGAAAATTTATGGTGGTTGAACTGATCTAAAATTTTTGCTCAAATCAGCTGTAATAATTTTAGGATTGTTTTTCTTGGGGGAGGGGTAGAAGTCAAATTTCATGTTTCTTGAGTAGCAGCGTGTAAAGGATTTCATCTTATTTGGCAGCTTGAGACTCGGTGTTCAGGAGGACTTAGAAGAATTGAGACGGGAAGAAGAAGAATTAAAACGCAAGAGACAGTCTAAGAAGCTGAGGACACGTTAACTGACTTATGGTGTTGACTTTGTTCATGTTTCTGCTACCCTCTGCCTCCATACATCTCTTATTCTACTTCAGTTTCCATTTGCTTGTTAGAGGGCAAAAGAATATTTAAAGGGATTAAAGTACTGAAAAGCAAGGCTTTAGTTTGACCTAAATAAGATATTTATTTTTAATACTTGCCAGGGTTGGTTTTTTATGAAGAAATTAATGCACTAATGCATATTATTAAGTGGAATAAAATTAATAGATATTTCCACTGATTAAACCAGTTCAAGATGCCAGCAGAAATATTGACTAGCTATGCACTGACTCGGAACTGTGTGGGCCCATATACCAGTAAACCAATTTTGCATTCAGTTGAAAGAAAGGAATAGCATTCTTGTTCCCTGATATTTCTTGAGACTTAGAGAAATTGCTTTATATCCTACTCTGTCTCCCAACCTGAGCCTCAAAGTATTGAAATGTCATCTTCTGTACAGAAGCAGCTTGGGTGTAAATTCAGCTGTTGCCACAGATGTTCAAAGCAATAAAGTGCTGCATATTTTCTGATTTGAGGACCCGTAAAAATAATTTGAACCTCTTCATTTCTAAACAGAAAAGTGCATGTCATTTGCAAGCTGTACAGTTATAGATATGGCCAAAAGATTATGTTGGCTTTTGCTGTGTCTGGAATTCCAATGCCAATCTAATTCAGTATGATAAATACACACCCTGAAAGCAGGAATTTCTAGTGTTTGTATGTAACTTGTGCTTTTGGGCTCAAGCATATGCTTGGGAATTTTTTTCCTGCCCTGTAAATCTTCACATTTGTTTAACAGCTTCTGCTGCTTTTACAAATTGTGTATGGTGCACGTGTTTTTTCTTGCATTAAACATCCGATGTGTTAAATGATTTAAAATGTGAAGCAGTCATTTATCTAATTAGGTTTACTATTTAGAAAGCACATCAGAATTAAGTTTTGTTAGAATGTATTTGCAGCTTTTCAATATTAACAACTTCATGTTAACTAGTTAATACTTGTGATTAATTTAATCAAACCAAAAATCTAAAATGTTACGTATAGCAGGAGAGTTAGTTCAGTTACTTACCTTAATGCCCATATTTGCACATTATTTCTAACTATGCACTTAAAGACTGTTTCTTTCAGTAACTGAATTTGTTTACAATCAGCACAGGGTTCATGTAAGTCTACAGGAGTTGTACTGAGTCTGAAGCTCAACTCTGGTGTTGCATCTACTTCGATTTCCCCAGGTTGCCCTTCAAAGCTCACCAGTATCACTACTCAGCTTTGCCTCAAGCTCCAGGATTCCACTGATAGTACCTCTGGCTTCAGCTGCTGAGGCTGTTATGTTTTAATGCTAGAAGTACTTGGAAAAGTACAAAAAGGGCTTTGGGTGTTTTGGGGGGGGGAGGGGAATAAAGGAATAAAAAGGAAAAATTCCCTTGTAGGAAAACAACAAAGGAACCTTTCCTATCAGGGGGCTATTCTTAACAGTGCTGCTTCTAGGAAGCAGTTCAGATAGCAACCTGTAAGGAGCAATCTTGGAAGCTGCTGAAGTTTAAACATCTGACTCTTAATGTAAGAAAAAACAGATTTGCCTCTTTAAGATGTTTTCTGTCAATGGTGTAGCATTTCACTGCCTCAGTAAAACACTGACATGAGTAAGCTATTGGGATAGATTCTATAAACTAATTCAGTATTAGCTGACAGGGAGCCCAGATGAAGATACCATCGTTGCTCCTCTGGATTTTTAACTTTCTGTATTAACTAACAAAAACTGTTTCTCAGTGTATTCACTTGAGACCATGCAAGATAGTGTAACCTCACTGCCTGTCTAGAAGTGTGCTGTATTCACTCTGCTTCATTGGGACCATCTAAAATTTTCTGTTGCGGTTCCTAGAATTATCCATTCAAGACAATGAACACTGGGACCATGATCAAGTTACTGAGGTTTTTTTACTTTCTAATTCTTTTTAGCCAGAGAAAGGCTCTAGGTCTGTCAACCCAGATAGCTGTATCAGCTGTGAGCAACTTCCTGCCTGGCTGGGGAAAAAGTCTCTTATGAAGCAAAAGAAATATATTAATTCAAAATTGGTTCAGTTGGGAATTAAATCTGCATTTCAGATAAATATAGGTTAAATAAAACCTGATTATTTCACCTCTTTCTGATTATTTAACCATGCAAGATCAGTTAAATTTCTTAATCTGTAAAGCACTTTGTCATTTGTCTTAGATGGTGACTGCAATGTACTCTGCTAGCCTCCCTAAGACACTGTATAACTGTTTCTTCACACAGTGATCATTGCTTAAATTTTGTCTATTTCATATGAAAAATTATTCAAGGACACATTTGTAATTTTACAGTCGAGAAGTACTTTCCCATAATTGGCATGGGATGCTAATGGTTTTCAAATTTTGTACAAATGTTTGGGTTTTAATATGTTTGCATTTGCTGCATATTTGTAAATCGACTAGGAAGGAACTAAATTTTGGGGGTTTAATTCCTGACCTTGTATCCAAAATAATTTTTACTGTTTGCCAGATCAATAGTATTAATCTAATGAGAGTACTTCAGTACTTGTCCAAAGTGCATCTGAATTTGAGGTTAAAAAAACTGGAAGAATGCTTATATTGGTTTATGAGAATCTGATGTTAAGCTAATGATTTAATTGTATTTAATGAAATTCTGGTTTGGTTTTTAGATTTTTAATTCACTGTTTGACAATGTGCCTTTTTTTACTAAATTGTGTCAAAAAATAATGAATGTAGGAGTATAAAGAGGTTGGTCAGTTTCTGCTATCTCAGATTCTATATCCTTAAACTTGATAGTGTGAAATGACGTACTTTTCATAAAACCCTTCCAGGTCTGGCTTTGATTGCACAATTACAGCAGCTACTTCTTTACTGCTAATGCTAAATCAAATGAAGGGCACTTTCTATTGATGACTACTTTTTGAAAATGTCTTGTATTTACACTTGAGCTGTATTTCACTTTACAGCGATGTCTTTTGGAGGCCAGGGTTTTGCATATCACAGGAAGCCTTAGTGTGCAACTCTGTGCTGTGCTTTAAAATAAAAATCTTTCAAGAAGTATGAGATCTCTATGGAAATCTGGATTTATTTTTGTGTAAAGCCCAAAATATTGTCCAGGAAAACTAATTTTCTATTTTTTTTGCATTTTGTAACATAATCTACTAGCTGATGCATATTTCTAGATATAGCATATTTCTGGAGACCAAAACGTGTCAGAAAATAAATATATGGAGAGACTGGTGTTTAAATTGTGATGAATGTACTTCTATTTATTTTGGTGAGTGGGTGTGATGCAATATTAAAGTGTTAGTGTGTAAATAAGGGTGCTTCTAGTTTTAGCCGATTATTTGATTTTTCTTTGGGGATATCATTTGTGCACAATGTCTTTTTACACAATGTGACAAATCAGGTTAAAAACTCGTACATAGCTTAACTGTTTCCTGGTGCTGTCAAAAAAGTGTATACTTTTGCACACACCAAATGCATATAAGTTTTGCAGAGTATGTATACAATAAATTACAGGCATTAAAAATTTTACTGCTATTTCTCATTGGTTTACTTTATGGAAGATTTTTTCAGAATTATTTTCTGCTGGTTTCCTCTGAGCTGTCACATACAACAGCGTTAGGCTGAATGTTCTCCAAGAATTGTTCTCTTGTTCTCATGCAGCCAGCAAGAATGTATGAAAAATTAATGGAGTTACTTAAGCATTCAGAAAAGATCTGAAAATCATTGGCGTCTCCTGCAGTTTAGGCTTGTGACATAATATATATTTGGAGGTACGCGTATTTTAGAATGGTAATATACACAAGTGTGCCAGTTGCCTTTAATCTCTTCCATTTGGAGTGTGGTGTTTCATCCTGCTGTTTCATAAGCAGCGTCTTTCTCGGATTCTCTTATTCTCATGTAAAGAATCTGAACCTCTTGCTGTCTCAATGGAACGGTTTACCGCTTCGACAGGCGGAGGTAAATACCAGTGACTGTTCTGATCAGCTAGTGCTGCGACCCACTTCCAAATAGGTAAATGAATGCACATCAAAGTGAGCCCTTCTGCCTTTCCTTTGAAACAGTAACATTTGCACACTCTTGTGCTTAAAAAAACCAAACTTTTTAAAATCATATTGCAAATTAGCATTTAATCAGTGTCCTATGAGTACCTTGTTTTGAAGGCATGAAATCTTACCTTGTTTGGAATTACCTTGTATGGAATTCCCTTGAGATTTTTAATGTATCTTAATAGCTGTAATCAGTCATTATCAGTCATTATTTCAAAGCAAATATATTCTGTTCAGGTGGAGGGTGATTCTACACTGAGTTATCTTAATCCAGCCAGTAAAGCCGTACTTCTCTGGAAGCAATAAAATTATTTTACTCAGGTTTGGAAAAAAAACAATTACAAGTTTCCCTCATTTGAGGGACAGTTTTTAGTTGTAATTTATTTGAAATAACATTTTAGTTCAAGACAACTGCAGTTCAGTCATCCCATAGATAGCCTTTTCTCACCACTTGAAATGCATAGGCAAACATTTATTTTTCCATGAGCCTAGGGATCTAAAAAGCCTTTGACACATGCTGAACATGCTTTGTGGGATGAGGCTGAAGACAGAAGAGGTTCCTGAAGTAATGAAACATGCCACCGGTTTAGTCCTAACTTCTCCGTCCACAACTGATGAATGGTTTTGTTTTCCCAAACCATCTGGTGCTTAATTTGCTTTGGGGATTTTCTCTGTTTGGTTCTTCATGGGAGTCTTGGTTTTTACCTATATCCTTTTCCCTGCACTGGCAAATTCATAAATGTTTTTTTATATGCTGGATGCAACTTCTGCCCAGTTTCTCAACATTCCTCAGTTGAGGAAAGGCAAGTATCTGATGCCATCTCCTATCATACTATGTGTGTGAAAGTTGATAACAATTGACAATTTAAAGAGAATCAAGAGGTTCGGTGGGGTGTTTTTCTTGTTAAAGGAACAGGCTTGATTCTGACATGAAAAACACTTGAGTGTAGTGTTCCAGATTTTATACTACACTTTGAATAACTGTGAGAGCATACTTATGCACACACTGAGTGTAAAAGGATGTTTTTGAGTGCCTTACATGTACTTCTCAATGTATTTAACCTCTTTTGTGGACTTCTTCATGAGAGGTAACTAGTTGTATCCTTGAATGATACAACTGAGGATATATGATGTTTGTTCTGGGTCTGTCCTCAACTCCCTATCACAGTAATTCTCCTCCCTGCCAGCTTCTTCTAGCTCTTGTGTTGCATGAATACTTTGTGGTCCCTCAGCGCACCCAGCATGTCATGAGATGTGTCCAAAGAAGAGCACTACACCTGTCGATTGACCTGCTGCTCTGCAATTGATAAAGGAATCTGCTTGTCGTTATTTTTGCACAGGAGGGGCACTAATGTGAGTCAATCCACTTCATCTGGTTATTGATTTCTATAGAATGTGCAGGAAGTCTGTTTTTGAGACCTCTACAGCAGTGTCAAATGTGACTGTAAATGATGCATAGACAGGCAGCCTGGTCACATGAGGTGAATCTTCAGAGTTCATGCAGAGTGACACCCTCTTCCCCCAGCCAAAATGAGTGAACCAGCAAACCCTTTATTAACCTGGCTTCTGTTTGCTAGCTGCATGTACAAAGGGATCGCGGTGATGGCAGTGTATAGGGTGTGATGTGGCCCAGGGCTATGGGGAGCCCTCTTTATAAGCAGTGTGAGAGATGCTGAAACTTGCAGGAGAAATTAACTATTTTGTGGAAGACTATTCGCTGCCGTATGCAGTTGGTAATGAGGTCAGATGTACGTCAAAACTGCTGGTTTAAATCCAGCCTTGGTTGGATGGTGCTTTTAAG